CTACTCAAGATGCCGCCCATTTCAAATTTGAAGGTGGTTTGGGAGCAAAATAGAACTTTAGATCAATCTTCTGGTGGACTCAGATCTTTGTTTTTTGCTATTTTTTCCATTCATGTTCAATAAACTGTATTCATTTGTATGATTCAATTGGCTGAGATGCATGGTCAAGTCCGCGGCTAGTCATATATATTTATACTCCTTGTGCCTTAGAGTGAATGGCTTCTGTTTCTTCTTGCTAAGCAAACCCCGCTTCTCTAGAAGAAACCTTTTTTTATGATTGACAGAAATAAGCAAGAACTGCAATTTTTTTTCCCATAGTGACAATAATCCTGTGGCCTCGTCACTTCCTCTGTATTCCCGTATTAACTTTGTATACGTATTTAAATTTGCTTATGCGTAGGTATACGCCTATATCAGATCCTGATGCTAAAGGGTACTTTGACTTATTGATTAAGGTACTGTTAACTTTTTGTCTCTCAACCTTTTTATCTATCTTTGCTTCCTTGGTTTCTATTTCCCCTATATCCTAGTATAATGTGTGCAATAAACTGTTTCAGGTGTATCCAGAAGGTAAAATGAGCCAGCATTTTGCTATATTAAAGCCTGGTGATGCAGTTGAAGTTAAAGGGTAAAGACTGCTTTAAAAGTTTCTAACAATAATTTGATATCATATTCATCACTAGATTCTGTTTGCTGCAGGCCCATTGAAAAGTTTAAATATACCCCCAACATGAAGAAACACATTGGAATGGTAAGATATGGTTAGGTGCACCCTTTTGTCCTTGTAGTTGGGATCATAAATATGAATATACCCATGTGCATTTCGTAGCTTAGAACTTGCATGAAGCAGCATTGGGCAATTAATGCATCCGAAGGATCATTATTTATTTAGTTTTTGGGCAGTAAAAGATCATTGTCTGATGCTCCTTACCTATTAGATTGCAGGAGGCACTGGCATAACACCGATGCTTCAGGTAATTGATGCCGTACTGAAGAACCCTGACGACAATACTCAGGTGAGGATTGTTCTTTTTTGTTGCATGTCTCTGTTCTTATTGTGTTTGATATCTGATTATTCTCTTGATGCTGCTAACGATTACATAATTCGAGCATTTTCTTCGTATATGAGATGGCCAAGCAGCAAGAATATTGCTGTTTGTGTGTCACTATGCGGGCTGTGATTTGTATAATTGTTCAAGATCCTTCGATTGGTGCTTCGTGTAAAAACTTATTCTTGTAAGCTTTTGCAATATGCAGATAAGATAATTTTATTCCTCAAAAGTAAATAAGTCCCTTACCTGTCGAAATACTTTTGCTATTCACCGAATAATGCTCCATGCACCTGCATATCCTATGAACATTTTCCCTTGTAACTTATATATGGGACATTTGAGTGGCTTAGGTTGCATGTTCTCCTTTTGAAGTGTCGTATGAATGAGATGTTTGCGCCCCTGCATATTAGACAGTTTCATTTTATTTCTTTTGTATATTATCCTCATGTGGAACATGTGCAAATTCCAACTTATCCAGCCTCTTTATTGCAATAGGTGTCGCTGCTATATGCTAATGTCTCTCCAGATGACATATTGCTGAAACAGAAACTTGACATACTTGCAGCCAGCCACCCAAATCTAAAGGTGTTTGATCTCAACTTATTTTAGTGTGATGCTGTCATTGCTACTTTATTCTGCAACTCCTTTTTAACCACTCATAAGTTGTCTCTTTCCTCTTGTGACTAATTTTAGATATTCTATACGGTGGATAATCCTTCAAAGAATTGGAAGGGAGGTAAAGGCTACATATCAAAGGATATGGTCCTCAAGGGCTTGCCAGCTCCAAGTGAGGACGGTCTTATACTTGTAAGTGTTCAGTTTACCATCTCAAGTCCAACTTTTTACAAAGCCAAACATGTGCCCAACTGCAGCTCTCCACATAGAATTTTAATTATTTGAGGCACCTAGCGACACAACACACACATGCACCCACAACAAATATGATGATCTTTGGATTACCATACCAGTGTTTGAATTGCTAATGACATACTAGCCAAGTGTTTGAATGTGGCGTAGTTTGAAATTTACTTGGTTGTTTTTATTAGGACCTGCTGTTTGTGAAATTTTCATTTAACAGCATTAGGCAATCAGCTGGATACACTTTGTCTTCAACATTGCACCATGACAATTGTTAAGATCAAGTGTGAATGGAATTGAAACAAGATCATATGTTTGACCTGAGTTTGCTAAAACCAGTCTCATACTCATGCCATCAAAGTATTCTCTCCATTTTTTTTTCTGCATGAGTTGATGGGAGTGTTGTGTATGTGAGCTTAGATATGGATTAGATTGGCTATCTAATGCTTTTCTGTTCTTGGACTCTCTGATTATGGGAACATCTGTCTTAATTCAAGTACTTAGGCAGCTACTTACCTATCCTTTACATGTTTTGTTCACCTAGGGTTGCCACATGTAAATTTCTCTATAGATTGACCTCTAGCTAGGAAATGGGTTATCTGTACATTCAGTAGATAAATAGTCTAGCCAATTTGTCCTGATTTTGTCATTATCTGCTGATAAGATGGGTAGAGAGAGTTTAGTTTTTTACTGATCTGATTGTACTATATCAGGTCTGTGGTCCTCCTGGAATGATGAAACATATTTCTGGAGATAAGGCCAAAGACCGTTCACAAGGCGAGGTAACAGCACTATCTCCCATTTCCTCATGTTATAGGATTTTTATTTACTTCCATTCATAATTTTTCTGCTAATGTTTTCTGTTTTCAGCTCACCGGGATACTGAAGGAACTTGGTTATACTGAGCAGATGGTGTACAAGTTCTAGTGCTCGTCACAATTTTGCATCTCAATCAAGCTCTATGTGCAAGAAGATAATGCGCAATTAATAAATCCCCCTAGTATAGACTGAACATGAGATTGGATATCATCTGCACGGGAAATACTAAATGTCTCATGGTGACAGCTTCTGCTGATTTTAGGAAGCAGGGTTTCCCTTCACAAAAATGCACATTTATGGCAACTGATGAAATAAAATGAAGCACACACTTTGACTGTGCTTCCGGAGTGTAAATTTTTCTGACAGAGGTACATGATGCATTTCAATCCATGTAAAGATATTGACGAAATTTTTAGTCGACTTCAGTTTTTGGGTGCAAATGTGGTAATGATATGATGCATGCTTAAATAAGGACAGAAGCTTTCGGTATATACTGCTTGGTGCTTAGGTAGTAGAATCAGTCATATCATGCCTATGGAAGATACATGACTCTTCCATCTTTTATGAGGAGTTTAGCATGCCTCAACTTTTCTATGATCTGAGTGGTTGTAATATCGAACTGGGTCTAGATAATCATGTCTCTTATGCGAAACAGTCTCCGTTCCTTTTGTCCTTAGTTGCTCTTGTCGTTTAGAATTCTCATTCGTTCTTGCTGCTCAAATTAATATCTTTTATGAAGGTTAAGGAGCATAAAGGTGACTAGGTTTTTTTTAATGTTTCTTGAATTTCTCAAGTACATTCAGGGGTTTCGTAGGTTAATTCCTTATGATGAAATTCGAAGGATAATAGTTGCTTTTTGTTCGGTCTTTCCGCTTCTCCGCAGTGTTCAGGGTTGTATGTGGTCCAAAACATGACGTTCGTTGGTTTTTCCTTCCTTCTTTTTGCCCATATTTGCTATGTTGCTGCTCCTTTTGCATTGACAGCTACACTGAGCATCCCAGCCATAATTCATTAAGGCAGCATGGACACTGGATCATGTTATGTGTATGCCTTCCTCTTTTTTAGGCAATCCGGAGAAGAAGCCGAATTGCGTAATTTTCTGATGGAAGCCCTCTCGGTCCCGATTTCGAATTCCCGAATCGTTGGTCGATTTCACAAGGTCTTGATCTGTCCGTGGCATTGGTCTGGCGTGTGTCAAATGTATGATAACTCTTACTATGCTGCAATTCGTATCTAATGATGTGGTGACGACCGGTTCAAAAGGAACTTCAAAAAGTGCTTTATTTGTTGATTAATGACCAAAGGAAAAAGGAGAGGCGTTCTTCGCCTTTCTCTAAATACAAAATCTTTTCAAGATGAGTTACTTAATGATCGGTAATCTTAATAATGATAATTTATTTCATGCGGCGCTTTAAAACTACATTTAGTTAAATCACGTACATTTAGCGATGCGAACGGGATTTGAATTGCGTAACAAGGATCGAGAACAACTAAATTTTTATAGTATTGAGACTAGGAACCGATATATATATTGACAAACTAAAATTGAGAAAATACATAATTTTTTTGTTGATGATCTTGCCTCTCTTCAATACGCACCCTTACTTTTATTTAGTCTACTACAAAGCACGTATTCTAATTGACAGTTACGACAACATTTTCATAACATTAGGACCCATGATCGTTGACCTTATCCACAGGCGGTGGCGACTTCTTAAGTGCCATTGAACATAACCGTTAAACCGTATCTAAAATTTGTTCTCTTTCTTCATTTCTCGTGTCCATCACTTAGTCGGATTTCTCGAGTGATAATCGCTGACCAATCATCATCGCATGTCGACAACTTTATACGGCGATCATCGATAAATCATCAGTATTTCCATTATCGATAACTCATAGATAGCTAAATCGTACTTGACATCGAGCTTTATACTCATCTAGATCAGCGCCATATATCGATTACAAAGATTCGGTCACTTTTTGATGTCAACAATAACCATGCACACCGACCAATTTAGACCATTGATCATAAGATTGAGAAAATGATAAACCTTCGTTCATTTGCAAATTTGCAATGTTGGACCTGGAAAGAGAAAATATAACCAAAAAACGAAAAATGAAAACACAAAACCGAAATTACAAAAATGCCCCCATTGCTACAAAAAAAATAAAAAGAAAACCAATAATAAAAACCGAGAGAAAGCGAAAACGTCCATTCAGTTCGTTCGATGATCAGCGCGACCGAACTGCCGCCCTCCCTCCCTCTCTCTTCTCCCGTCATCGTCGTCACCGCCACCCATTCCTCCATGGAAGTTCTCTGATCAGAAGGTAACACCGCCACCGCCGTCGAGGTTCCGTCGACGTCCGCCGGCGCAGTCGCCGGCCGGCCGGCTCTCGGCCGATTCCCGGTTTCTTTTCTTCCTCCTCCTTTCCAGAATGAGCGACGAGGCGCAGAAGCGGAGCACCGACTGCGTCTTCTTCCTGGCCTCGCCTCTTACCTGCAAGAAGGTTAGTCCGGCGCGAGCCGATCGCCCCCCCCCCCCCGCCGCCATTTCCCGCGTCGATCGCATTGTGTGGCGCCGTGTGCTCGCGGTTCTCCCGCCCTACCTCCCGATCGACGCGAGGCTTTTGGCCTTCGTCTTTTCCTTGCTTCGGATGCCGTTGCTATGCCGGCGAGAGCCTGCGCTGTCGATGCGCTTGCTTCTGGAGGTTTCTTTTGCGTGAATTGAGTGGTTGATGTTGGAGTCGGAGTGGATGGCGCCGTCGTGTTTTGTGTGGTAGTGCTTCTTGCCGAGTCGCTCGTCTTCTCAGCGAGTCGGTGTTGTTATCGTGCCGTAGTCATTAGAAGATCGGACTCCGGTTTCGAGTGGTGTGGTTGTCACCTTCTTCACGTTTGCTGCCTGAGAGATTGGCTTTGTTTTCTGTGAGTCGGTTTCCGGTAGTAACGTAATGTTGCTTTCCGTTTTTCAGGGGCTTGATTGCGAGTACCGTCATAATGAAATCGCGAGGCTGAACCCAACGGATTGCTGGTATTGGTTAGCTGGAAACTGTCTTAACCCCACTTGTGGATTCAGGCATCCTGTAAGCTCGTTTTTCTTTCGGTTTATTTCTTCTAAGGAACGGTCGTCGTCCCTTTCTAAGTTATTATGCTGGAAAATTCTTGGCAATTCCTAGTTAACAATACGATTTTGCGCAATTTTATAACTTGAGTTTAGCTCTATGAAATTTGTGATATCGTTTTGTCATCTGCTATACTATTGTGGAAGTGAAGGGGGAGGTACTTGCGATAAATACATTCTGAGGTCCGCCTTCTGATGGATGCTATGATTCATTAGAAAGAGTTTGTCATAAGTGGGCGATCACAGGTGAACAGATGCTTTTCAGAACTCTAGGGTAGTCGTGCTATCTTTTCTGTCATTTTATCTTCTTTAGGTAACAACAGAGAGTTAGACTGGTTAACACATTTACGTGTTCGTATCTGTCAACCATACCCTATATGGCCTTATCAAACTCAGGTAAATGGTCAGGCCAAATCCAAATCGTTAGATTTGGTTATAAAACCATAACAGAGGAAATGATCCACGATAACTACACGGACCAAACTGATACAGAATTCAAATTGAGATGGCAAATTATATGTTTCCCAAATTCTTATGTTACTTGTGGAAGAAAGTAAAGGAGTTCTTTAGGTATTGGCTCAATTGAACATTGGGGAGTAGTATCGTACCTAATGTTGTATTTTTGGCTGCTGCTTCTGTAATATTTGAGAATTAGAAATCCATAATAAATCATGTGCTTCAGTATCATATGTTAACTCCACTAATTATATGCTATCTTAAACATATGAATGGCTTTCTTTCCTTTTTCCTTGCAGTTCTGTCGTAAACTTGTATTATGTTTTGATGTTGACTTAAAGGAAGTTTTCCTAACCTGCTTGTAGTACTTGACTTAGTACTGTCACTTATCTTGTTGGTTGTCGATGCTTTTGCAGCCACTGGATACACATGATGAAGTATCATCTGAGTTACATATGGCACCTGCAAATAAGATCAGCACTCCTTGTTACTTTTATTATAATGGGTTCTGCAACAAAGGTGACAGTTGTACCTATTCTCATGGATCTGGCTCTGGTAGATGTGCTGCGGTATCTTCAAAAGAAACATTGGAAGTAATCAACGCTCTGTCCTTAGACAGGAAGGCATTTACTGGGGATGGACATGATACCGATTTATCTTCACATAAAGAATCTAAAATGACAAAATTAACACCGTCAGAATGGAAGATTACTGATGGCGATGATTTTGCATCAGCACCGCTGGAGGAACATCCCAACTTGTCCGGATCTTCGCCAACGGCAGGGAATTTGAGTTGTCTATATAAGGAAGATAAACAAAATGTATTGATTCAAGATGGTGTACAGCTGAATGACTCTCCTCAGGTTTCCATGTCTGATTGTGAAGAAGATGCTGAAACTGGGTCTGAATATATGCTTACTGCAGAAGGTCTTACTCAAAGTAGGTCGCATAGGGACCCTGGTCATGGTTCAGAGGAACAAGTGGAAGACCATGTTGTGAGAGAGGGATATTGGGAATCGCCTGTCCTAGTGAATGGTGGATCCAAGAGCTTGGCCATCCAGGGTAATCAAAAGTGTTTCCTGGAACTTGATCCACAGTATAGGCATTTCGATGGCCATGTCTCTGACTATGATTCGGATGTTTCAGCTGAGCATGAGCCCATGTACCCTGATGCAGAAAATTCATGTGAATATGAAACGTATGATTCTGACAATGACTCGCATATTGACCGTAGTTCTAATGATGCCCAAAGTTTATCTGTTCGGTTTAGGGAGACTGCCTCAGATGTTGTGTTCTTACGTGAAAGAGAGATGCCGCATATGGAACTCAGACATGATGACCACCATGATTTGGATCTCTGGAGCCCCTTAAGGAAAAACAATACAATTGATTCATTTTCCCGTTTACCGAGAAGGCATGGCTCATTTCATCTGGGTGTTCATAGACAGGAAAGGCTTGTGCTGGGTCGGAGGATGCATGGAAGATTAGCATTAGTGGGGAAGAATGCCGTCGAATCATTTCGAGACAAAGAAAAGTTTCTTGATGGCTTTAAAAGGCATGGTTGGCTCAGGCACCGAGAAATGGATAAGTTTAGGGCTCACTATAAGGAGAAAAGGCTGCCTAAATGGAGGTCTCATACAACCAAAGCTTCAAGAAAACCACTTTCAGGGTGGCGGCAATCTGCTGTGGACGCTGCTTCTTTTACCGGTCCCAAGACTCTTGCACAGATCAAAGAAGATAAGAGGAGAGCTAAAGAGGTTTGGTTTCGGTCAGGTGGGTGTTCTGGTAAAAAGTTGGCAGCAGATTTCCAGGGGCCTAAACCTCTGAGTGAACTTCTTAAGGACAAAGGAAATGTCAATTCAGAGATGTAACATAGAAATAATGGTCATTTTGAAAAAGAATAAAAGAAAAAATTACAATCGCTTGATGGAACAAGATGAAAATCTTGAGGTGTCTTTTTGCATGCCGAGCATGATCCCTACTATTCTTTCTGTCTTTTGAATGGTTCTCTTTCATAAGAAACAGGAATTAGAACATTGACGGTATTGCGTTGGTTGTACTAGATGTTCTGTGCATTCCTGTGATTCCGAGGTTGCCGTGGAAGATGAATGAGAACCCTTTTACTTTTTTTTGGTAGGTGAAGTTGGGAAAATGGTCTTTAGGTGAAGCATTCAGCAGCTCAACTCGGTTATTTACCGGATCTTGCATGCAGCGCTTACCTGGAATTGCTTATGTGCTATGAATTGTCTCGTCTCCGTATAGAATTTGCCTCTAGGTTACATACACCTATTGAGCTTACTCATATTGACAGGACATATATCGATGTCCGACTTCCTTTGCTGGCTATATTGCTTTGCCAGTGTAAGTGTGCTAAGTTCAAATAAGAATTTCACTGTGAGGGGATTGTTCAGGGAATCGTCCAACTTATATAATCTATATGAGTATCTGAAGGCCGTTCGAGAAAAAGAGAGAAAATTACACCAAAACCTTATTTTTAGAGTAGTATATCTTCAATAGATCGATGCGAGACCGATGGTTTCTGTCTATCTCCAGACGTCACTGGTGCTAAATTCTTGATCGAATTGATCGGGTCAGAGCTGGGAATGTCAAAAGCTATTTCCCATTGGTAGATTTTGCTCGTGTGCTTTGCTCAAGTCAGAACATGCAGTCCACATTCCAGGAAAGAGAAAAGGCTAAAGAACCATTCAATTGTTTTGTCCGGATACGAACTGCCTAGTAGAGAATCTGCGGAATATTACCATTGTGATCTCAGCCAGTGATGTGACTGGCAACAAATGCCTGACAAAAGCTCTTTAGTTCTTGTTCTTAGCTTTCTTAAGACTTAATAAAACAGAGCCTATCTAGTGCACATAGATCATTTAAGAAATTGAAATAGAAAAGAGAGATAGAGATCCGAGAAAATCTTAGGTGATCGAAACCCCCAAGAGGAGCTAGTGATATTAGGTTATTTATAGAAGTAAAAAAAAAAAAAAAACGGAAAAAAATTATGTGGTCCGGGTCCTTCATGTCAGGACTTGTAATTTTGAGTTAGAAACAATTTGAGGTACAAATCATGTCGCATGTCACAAATTTTGCTATCGGATGACGGAATTCATATGTAGGCAGCACTTGAGACTCACTCCATCTCCAACTAGCCAGTCATTATAGATAAGTGTGTTATTTTTAAAGATTTTATACAAATTGGGTCTTAAGTCAATGGATCGGTTGTGCAATTTTATGAAACTTTCAATGATTTCAAACCTTTTTTATATCAATCGTGATTTCATATCTTCATCTATGTAAAAGAATTATTTGATTTGGCGAGGCCTCTCATAAGATTAATCGTATTATATAACATGCCAAAAGTCAGATAAGAGGGGGAAAATCCTCTTTTCTAAATAATCATTTAATTTCGCAAAACGAATGATGATCTATGATATCATCTCACCGCCGGAGACATGGAAAAGATCTTACCCGCCCAATAAAAGAAAAGACAGGGTTTTGATTGCGCAATCTTAAACATCATATAAGCATTTTGCTATTAATGTATTGTCAAATGGGGTGAGTGACCATCATCAAACACAGGGATTAGTTTAACGCGTTCAAAGTCTCGCAGGTCTATTCCAAGTTTATCATCATCCCCCGTGTTCTTCATTTGTCACTTTGTTTATATCATCTATGTGCATGCGTTACAAGAAAAATACAAAACCACCATAGTTTGACCCCAAATCCTCTCCCTAAATATTGCTCTGAACCTCACACATCCGTACACACGAACGCAGGGATGGTTGGTTTGCAAAGGTCTGCAAAATCATTCAGGAGACAAGGATCGTCGGGCCTGGTGTGGGATGACAAGTTCTTGTCAGGAGATCCCTCGAACCAAACGAGGTCTAACCAACAGCAAGCCAACCGGAAAGCTGACCGCCACAGGGAGCTACGGCCATCCCAGAGCACCGGATCGATCGACACGGTGCACCGGAGCCAATCCGACAGCGGACAGCCCTGCCATGCCATCAAGGTCGAGTCGCCATCACCGCCGGACCCGCCGTCCCCGAGAGTCTCCCGCTGCGGACTCTGTGGCATCTTTGGCAAGCCGGGCACTGCCCATCAGTCGAACTCGAGAAACAAGAAGCGCAAATCGTAGAATTACTATGCAAAGGTTCTGAACCAGATATAGGTAAGCATTTCTTGAATCTCCACATCAGTAGTTCTTGCTAAGAGTGTGCTTGAGTTCCTTAGGACATAAGCTTGAGGCATCTAGAGGAAAGCATTAAGGCTTTGTGACACGCAAAGACATGAGAGATGTCTAGGTTTAGCTCTCGGACCAGCTGAATATTTGTCTATATTGATGTTTTTCATTGCACTTCAACAACCATCTTGAGTTCCACGAGTTGCAGGTGTTCTTCGTCTGTCTATCGCATTCGCTGGTGAAATCTTCCTAACGTTTTTCATTCCTATAATGATCTTAACAAATCTTGTCGAACCGTCTAAAGGAGTACGCTTTTCAGGAAAAGAATTCAAAAAATCGCGATATAATCGAACTTAAAGAATATCGTCATGCAAAATAGCAGCCATCATGGTTGCTAGAGCAGTCTTTTTGCATGACATATTAGTTCTCGGTCTCTCTTATAATCGGCAAGTAATTTGAGAATTTGAGGATGATTTTTCGATATTTGTTGTTAATTTTCTGCAATTTATTGGTACTTATGGACAAGCATGAATACTTGAATCAAGCTCCAGAATCAGTTTAAGTTTAGTTTGAAAAGGGAAAATATTCTGTTTCATGTCCTGCAGAAATCCATAATTCTTGTTAGTCCATGCATAGGAAGAAATGAAAATAATTTACCATCATTATGTCGGAGAAATCAAGATTTAGTCAAGAGAGAATTCTGGCGCTCCCATCGATGACAAAGAGTCGGGGAAAATTGTTCAAAAAAATTTTAAACCTCTAGCACTTTTGCCATTTCAATCATAAACATTTTAAAAATTTACAAATGTAATCTATCTGGCCAATTTTAGCTAGAAATCACTGACGTGAATGCTGGCCATCCTATGTGGCATTGGTCGACGCTAACGTGAACAAATTTCATTAATTTTAATATTTTTTGAATTTTTATTTATATTTATTCTTTTTCTTTTTTTTTCTCCTTCGTCCTAGATCAGTCACCCAGCCTCAGCGATAGCTAGTTATCGGCCAAAGGCTACGACCAGCGAGGGCGACCCTCGTCGGCCTTAAGCAAGGTTGCGCTCACCCTCGCTGGCGTTCAACGAGGGCGACCCTTGCTAGCTTCTGACGAGGCTCAACCTCGCTGGATTTGGCGAAGGCGAGCCGACGAGATCGTCCCTCACCAAATCCCGACAAGGGTGACCTCACTTGAGGCCGACAAGAGCAACCCTCTCCAATCGTAGCCTTTGGCCGATCGCCGGTCATTAATGAGACTAGGCGACCAGCGAAGGAAGGAGGAAAGAAAAGAAAAAATAAATTCAAAATTCAAAAAATATTTAAAATATATCAACGTCGGCACCGATCAATATCACGTAAGATAGCTGGTGTCCATGTCAACGATTTTCAGTCAAAATTAGCTAAATGGACTACATTGATAAATTTTTAAAAAGTTTAAAACTTAATTTGTACTATTGAAAAGTTTAAAACTGAATTGGTAAAAATACAATAAATTTAAGACTTTTTAGATAATTTTTTCCAAAGAGTTGACGACATTCGATTCAAAACCCAACCAAATGGTAACTTAGCAATATGGTCATTAAACATACCAATTTTTAATTAATCAACAAGAAAGCGGGAGGCGATGCTACCAACCTAAACAATCGACCAGAACCCGAGAAAGGTCCAAAAACAAAGCATCTGGTGTTGTCGTCGTCTATGTAATCATTGGTGTCTCTCTTTTAAGTACGAGTCGTTTTCGTGACATCAACCTCAGCCCATGGTTTGTATCAATCTAATTCATCAGCTGTTTGATAGCTCCTGCTGTACTTGGTTGATTGTCTTACCGTCCAAGTTGTCGTCCAAATTGTTCGTCCTACTCTTCAATGCTTTGCTTACTTAAAGGTTTATTAATGAACAAGATCGCAACAGAGCGGGGGGTTTCTAGGATCCATCGAGAGAACCGATGCACCGCCGTAACGTGCGGTGGATGAACACATTCCATCGTAATTCTTGAACAAAAAGTGTCGTAACAACAAACAGTTAAAAGGTTTTCAACCATCCATTGAGATCGGACTATTCGGGATTCATTGAAATGTTTAGGCCAAAGCATGTCATATATGTCGCGAATATGGTGCAGGTCACCCGCTAATCGGTTCCCCTTAATCATCTACCTTAGATAGAGTCATCATAATATGTCATGTATATGATGGGCTTCAACAATTGAATGTACATTTAATTAGAAAAAAGTCGGTAAGTCGCTCAAATAAAAATTAATAAATTTATATAAGAGTTGGCAAATATAAGGCATTGATAAGAAAGACAAATGAAAGTTTTTAAAAGATAAAAAAGAAGTTTGTAATTTCATAAAGCTGTCAATATGTTATCAACAAGTCATAGGAAATCAGGTGATCGTCAATTTTTTACCAACTAGATTCTAACATTTACTAACACTTTCAGAAATTTACAGATACCGAAAAAAAATTATTCTTTTGTAACGTACGGAACGGTAACATCATCCTTACGATTTATTTATTTATTTATTTTTATCCTCATCCCAACCCAAGTGATTGCGCCGAGTAGGTTTTGAACTTGAGAATTCAACTTCCTGAAGTGTGTAATACTCTTAATCTTTTCACCAACTTTCGAGAAGCCCTTGGGTTATGATATTGCATTTGAGATCTCGAACAAACTTTGGCGGAATGAGAAGCGCTTTTTCTTCTTAGAGAATTTGATGCATATTATTGATCAAAAAATGAAATTTGGATGCACATCGAACTCGAGTCCGAAAGCAACAAAAGTTCAAAAACCAAAAGCATACACATACAAAAATGATTGAACGAATGCTCGACAAAACAACAAATTCTGAATCTCTCCATCTTGCTTCTTCTTCTTCTTCTTCTTCACTGTCATGCATGAAAATCGTTAGCCCAATTCATTTCATATGGTGTCGCACACGGTTCGATGTATCTGCGGCTGACGCTGCTTGACAAACTTGTACTGTCGGTCTCGCTCCACCCCGTTATTGCTGTTCGCTATCGAGGACCCTCGAATGGCGTCTCCGCCATTGTCGAGCACGACCACCGGGATGTTCTCGCAGTTACAGACCTCGATCATAGAACCGTTGGGGTCGTGGAAGAAGAGTTGATCGACGGCGACGCCGCCTTCCACCACTCGGCCGTTCACGTACCCTATCTTCATCTCCCTCAGCTTCTTCTCCACCGTTTCCATGCTTTCGCACTGCTAATGAAAAACACTAGTAAGAATTTCGATATATCGACATTACCGTTTCATTTTTAGTTGCTGAAAACTTTGGATGTAAAGATAATGATATCGCAAATGCCTTCCCGTTGTTGGTCATGAAATGTACATTTTCACAGGTTAGTTGATTATCCATGATTTGAACAAGCTAGATAACTAGCAATGTCTGCGATACTCCAAATTCAAAGGATAAAAAGGTAGACGACCTGGAAAGAGATGTGCCTGTCTTTGGGATTGATTTGTTCGACTTTCGGCATTCCATCTGGGTCCTCAGATTTGATCAGATGAATGCCGATTCCGTAATTGAATAGCCTGCATTTTACAAGTTGAACAGGAGAAAAGAAAATATCAGTGACCACATCCTAAACCCTATCAAGGCAACAATGTTATCACAAGGAAGATACTTGCTCTCTTCACTTCTCATTCATCCCTTGTTTCAAAGACAATGCAACTACTTTCTTATTACATCGATATCACCATACGTACCAAGCGCCGTCGAAGTCGAAGCAACCGGGCCTTTGGATGGGAGCAAAACCGAGGACGTTACAATAGAAGTCGATGGACTCTTCCACCGATCGGCACTGCATCGATATGTGATTCAAGCACTTCAAATGCAGAGGGTTCTTCTCAATGATCCTTTCCTTAAACATCTCTCCTTCCCCCTTCTCTGGGACGACAATGCAAACTAAAAACTTCAAGAACTCGAAAACCTGAAACGCGAAAAAGCTTCAACAGCTTAAATTTTGCGATGAATTTAGGAATGTGGAGAGAGATTGTAAGCTAGAGAGAACATATTAGAGTTTAGGCCATGGTTGGAGGGTATATATATGGACCTGGAGATGCAAAAACAGAGAAGAGAAAAGGTGTACGCGGGCAACACAACAACCACGAGTGATATTATCCATACCACGTTGGTTCCACGTTGGCGGATTTTCATTGACGGGCTTTGGGGGGGACAACTTGGTAGTAAAATGATTGTGTTGCGGACACGAAATACGTTGCTTCAAAATCACTCAATCAGCATTGTTACTGACAAATGAATCACGGTCACAGCTATATTGCACACCAGCAGATAACAGGGAGAGACCGATATGCTTCACAGGCAGGTTCTTAATTATTCACTGACGTGCATGCATGCGCATCTACGTACATCGTACCCTTGAAGATGCTCGTTCTGCTACGAAAAATACGCGAAACCTTGTGTTATTTTTTCTCTTTTGCGCGACCCGATTCGTTTCCCACCTTCTTTCGTATGAGACTAGTTTAATTCTAATGGAAGTCTACAGAATAACTTCTCGGAATCATATTTCATATCAAATACGACGTAGACCTCGCCGTCTTCCTATGGGAACAATTGGTTTTGCGCGAGACTTGGCGTATATTTCATTATTTCTTGATAGGAAAAATAACACGAGTGATCCCTGAACTTTGGCCAAATGTGCAATGTGATCCCCGAACTTTTAATTTGTTCAATAAGGTCCTTGATTTTTAACCTAGTGCGCAATGTGATCCTTAAACCTTTAATTTGTTTAATATTATCCCTAAACTTATGGTACATGTTCAATGTAGTCCTGAACTATATGAAAATATTCAATTATGTCCCTGATTTTGAATTAATGAAAGGACAACATTGAACATTTTCATATAGTTCAGGGACTACATTGAACATATACCAAAAGTTCAAGGACCACATTGAACAAATTAAAAGTTTAAGGACCATATTGCACATTGGATTAAAATTCATGGAACATATTGAATAAATTAAAAATTCAAGGACCACGTTGTGCAATAGAATAAAGTTCAGAGACCATTTGTGTCATTATCCCTTCTTGATACGAGGGTTTCGTTCCTGTCTAGTAGAATGAGTCCCGAAAAGAATGTATGGTTTCTCATGTACTGCGCATCACGTTAGACTGGCAATGAGTTGCATGATGCAGATTCTTCCTAAAAAGAGGAATTCAAGGCTGAAAAACATGGAAGTCTTGGGAATACAGCAAGAGCTACACCAACTGGAGAACATTTATCATTGCACAAAGAAGGCATGCAAGCAACGCTGTGGCCTCTTGGTCGTGATTTGCCGTCTCTCTCGAAAAGTTCCCAAAAGAGAACACGTTTATAGCTGGTCAAAAAGCACCGATCCCATTTCGATCGATGGTAATCAATTGCTGATCTTTCTTCTTTTCTAGGTTCATCCCTCTTTTTCGTGGCGCGTTGGTCCCCCTCCTATAATAGAAAATCTAGAGTTAGGGTGATTTCCATGCACTCCTAGGAGGCGCCTGTCCTTTAAGAAATTGGGAAAGATGGAAGTCGTCGTCAAAGTTTGACAGTGCTTGTAATTTTCTCCAAAATAATGGATGGATAGAAAGTCTGACATCAAGCTGAGTCCCTAAGCTTGTGTGTTTTGCACGTTTTTATCCTTGTCCATCTTTTATGGGAGACCTAATGGATGGGAAAAAAAACGAAACTACGAAGTTTTGAATAGAAAGATTGATCTGGCCTTGGCTAGCCAGGTTGAAGAAGGTCATTACTTGTCCAGGCCTACTCATTCTCACCTTCGAATTGACCGGGCCCAGGTGAGCCCAACGAGTCGTCTCGCCGGGATCACTTCTAGTTTAAAAAAACGTTACGATAGTACAATCGTGAATGTCGCGCGGTAGAAAGCCATCGGGTTCTTCAACCGAAAGAATAACCAAAGACAATTGTGATACTTGATTAGTGGTTTTAAAAAGGGTTAATACCACGAAAAACCCTAAACTGGTACACTGGTGACAGATTTAGCCCAAACTATTTTTTTGACCACAAAAAATCCCAAACTGGTACATCCGTGACAATTTTATCTCGAACTATTTTTTTGACCACCAAAAACCCCAAACTGGTACACCTGTGACAATTTTACCCCGAATTAAATTTTTAATATTATTTTTTCAAATTTTTTTTTATTTTTTTAGTTTTTCTTTTCTTTTCTTTTTCCTTTCCTTTTCTTTTTGTTTTCTTCATTTTCTTTATCTTCAACCTCTGGCCGGCAACGTCGGCCTCGCCCCACCCTGGGTGAGGTTCGACCTCGCTAGTTGTCGGCGAGGGGTCGTCCTCGCCGTCGCTGGCGAGGCTCGGCCCCGCCGACAACTGGCGAGGTTGGCCTCGGCCAGAAGCGGCGAGGTTGAGCCTCGCCAGCGATGGCGAGGACGACCCCTCACCGGCAACTGGCGAGGTCGACCTTGCCCCACCCCTGGCGAGGGGTTGTCCTTGCCGTCGCTGGCGAGGCTCAACCTCGCTGCTTCTGGGCGAGGCTAACCTCGCCAATTGCCTGTGGGGTCGAGCCTCGCCATGCCAGCAATAGCGAGGACGACCCCTCGCCGGCAACTGGCGAGGTCGAACCTCGCCCGGGGTGGGGCAAGGCCGACCTCGTCGGCCCCCGCCTCTGGCCGATCGACGGACCGGCAACCAGCCAGAGGTTGAAAATAAAGTAGATGAAGAAAAAAAAAAGAAAAGGAAAGGAAAGAGAAAAGAAAGAAAAACAAAAAAAAATTAAAAAAATATTATTAAAATATTAGTTCGGGGTAAAATTATCACAGGTGTACCAGTTTGGGATTTTTTATGGCCAAAAAAATAGTTCGGGGTAAAATTGTCACAGATGTACCAGTTTGGAGTTTTTTGTGGTCAAAAAAATAATTTGGGTAAATCTATCACAAGTGTATTAGTTTAGGGTTTTTCGTGGTATTAACCCTTTTTAAAAAACGAGCGTCATTAGATTGCTTAATGGAACGAGGTTGAAAGGGGGGGGGGGTTAAAAAAAGGGCTAGAAAAATGGAGCAGAGACAAGACCGACACCCGATTAATTATTCCAGTTTTCATAACGCTGCATGCAATTGAGATTTCGGGGACTGAAGACTGAAGGGGTAAAGGGAAATTACAAACGTTTGGTCTCTGAATTTGCCCGATCTTTCTAATGTGTGGTTCTGGCAGGGTAATCCTAGCGGCGAATGGTAGTGCAGCGCCGGCGGCATTGGATTCAAGGGTCAATCCTCATGCGGGCCGTGAATCATGCTGTGAACATCCTTCTCTAATTGAATATGTTGCCGACTTAATAGTGAATATCCTTTTCTAGAAGGACGCTCTTGGTAGACCTTAAAAAGGATCAATTTCTCATTTTTCTCCCAAGCACTACGACATATTACTTTCTAAAATAAAATTTGAGGATCATTAGTGAGACAAATCAATATTTCCAAACATCAGTATCAATTTTGGGAAAATTATCTAGAAAGTCCTAAACATATTGCACTTTTGTCAATTCAATTTCTAAACATTTTAATCATGCCAATTGAATCATAAACCTTTTAATTGTGCCAATTCAATTCTCGATTTGGCAGGCGAGGGCATTGCGACCCTCTCCCAGGCCGTCGTGGCCCTCGCCAGGTCTGGGCAAGGGTGACGACTCGTGACGCCCTCATTGTGGTCGGCAACTCCAAAAAAAAAAAATAGAAAAAAATCAATGTATATTATTAAAAAATGTCCATGTCAACTTTGGCCGTCGTCGACCGTACCATGTAGGACAGCTCAACGTCCATGTCAGCAATTTCCGATCAAAATTGGCTGGATTGATTCAATTGACATATTGTCAAAATATTTAGAACTCAATTAGTAACAATTTAAAGGTTTAGGACTGAATTAGAATAGATTTAAAACTTTTTGGACAATGTTCTTTATTAATTTCGTAAGGGATAATGACATAAATGGTTCTTCAACCTTCATCCAATGTGCGATGTGATCCCTGAACTTTAACCTATTGTGTAATGTACTCCATGAGCTTTTAGTTTGTTTAATGTAGACCCTCAACTTTTGGTACATATTCAATTTAGTCCCTAAACTATATAAAATATTCAATTTTGTCATTCAATTAATTCAAGTTCAGCGACAACTTTGAACATTTTCAGTGACTAAATTGAATATGCAATAAATGTCAATGGATCACATTAAACAAATTAAAAATTCATGGATCATATTACACTTGAGTCAAAATTCATGAACCATTTGTGTTATTTTCTCGTTTTGGAAAATGAGTACATTCAAGCAGGAACACAAAAAATAGATATAACAGATCAAGGAGGTCATTTTCCCGCTTCCTACATTAAATCTACATTTTCATCTACTGCATGTGATTGACTTTTTCTCTTTTTTTTTTTTTGGTCGGTCATGTGATTGACTTTAAAGGAAAAAAATAGTTGGTGCCGATAGCAAACTTTATCGTGACAAGTATTTAATGCATTCTATTTATATGCAGACATCTATAAAATGCAAGTTCATTAATTGCTAGAGGTTGCTCATAGAGTCACAATGATTTTTCCTTGGCATGCTAATTGCCAGACATATCCATCGAAATACATTATAACATTGTCTCCTAAAAGTTTTTTGTCTCTAATTGCAAGAATGGTCTTCTCGACATTGCAAGAAAAGGTTTTGGTACTTTCTCCACGAAAATAGCCGCCACATAGATGCAACCCAGCAAAAAATTATGCATCTGAGGAAATATTTTCTGCCGCAAAAACCGGCATTTACCGGACTCATAAATTGGCTTTTTAAAATTTGTTCCGCCCCTTCATTCATTTCGCAATTAATTTCGTTACCTCCCTGCTTATATTACACTCGGGATAGTTATCGAAAAAGTCCTAAACCTATTATACGAATACCAATTTAGACATAAACTTTTCAATTTAGCTAATTTAGTACTAAGCATTTTGACGATGTAGTTCTTCTGACTAATTCTAGCTGGCAATTTCTGACA